CGGAGCGATATGGCGTTCGGCTGCGATTTGAGTGCAACCGGGTGACGCATCTCCTCCACAGAGACGCGGGGACGGCGTGCCTGCGAGGCGCCCGATATGCGCCAACGGACCCAATGGAAAGTGCGAAGCGAGCACTCGACGGCTCGCAGCCTGTGGACGGAGCACGAGAGCTCGAACCTCGCACTCTCGTGCAAAATCGGCACCTCGGAGCGCCTTTTTCACACCGCATTCGAGCCCATGAAAACAACAATGTACCCCAAGCAGCACGATCACGCCTCGCACCGGTGCGGTGGTGCCGGGCGGCTCTAGGGGGTCAGGCTGGCTGCATGGCACCACCCGTAGCCCGTTTTGCTGCCCTGGCATCACCCGGAGGGGGGATTGAACATGGTAGCTTCCAATTCACTCTGTCTCTTTGGCTCCATCCCTTTGGCTAGTGCCATTTCACCCTCACCATGCATGATCAGGGACTCAGCTAGTCCTTTTGGCGGGCCACCCTGTCCAGAAAGGCATGGATGCCAATCTGGGGTCTCTCGACCGAGTCTATCTATGAGTCCTGGCCGCTCCCGGTGGTGGTATAGGTTGAGCAACCAGGCGACGGAGATGGTCTAGCCTTTCTGTTTTCGATGAGACGGCACCCTCCCCCGCGCCCCACCGGCGGGCATCACCCCCCCCCGCGTCCGGCCCCGTCCCTGCATGCGATGCCGATGCTGCATACAACGTCCACGGAAAATAAAAGTCGGCGCACGGCGCCAACGCCGGGGCTCCGTGTGAGCTCGGGCCTGGCTACGGGAAGAGGGCAGGGCAGGGCAGGCAGCTGCGGCTCGCATCCGGACCGCCGCCCGGGCGCCTGGTCCGCGCTTCAACCGAGAGGAAGCTCAGACGTCAGAGCACCTTCTCGTGCTCCTTGAGGACGATGAACGTCGACCAAAGTGTGAAGGCGTGCGGGAGTGAGAAGAAGAGGCGGCCGAGGAGGGTCGTCGTCGGGTAGAACTGCCACATCGCGATGATGCACGAGAGCGCGTAGTGGTACACGGCAAATACCTTTCCCTCCATCGTGCCCTTGATCTCGGTGTAGGAGTACATCGCCATGAAAAGCGCGACGAAGAAGTAGGTGAACTGCGTCATCGGCGACGGGTCCGGCGTCGTCGGGTCGAGCTCCTTGAGGCCGACGAGCGGGAAGGGCATGCCCATCGCCTCGGCGATGTAGTACGGCACGAAGGAGGTGGAGACGATCACGCCGTGGATGTACATCGGCGTCTTCATCTCGGCCTCCGCCTTCTTCGTCAGGTCGGCCCAGCCGTACTCAATCCACGTAAGCGCGGAGATCGCGAGGTTGATCAGCAGCATCGGCCCCGGCGGGCCGACGGAGTGGACGAAGGCGTGGTACCCCATCAGCGGAAGGATGAGCGTCATCGAGAGCGCGAGCGCGAGCTGCTTCCCCGGGATCCCCGCGAGGAGTGCGTTGATGAGGCAGTGCAGCGCGATCACCTCGATGAACCGCTCGCCGACAAAGAGAGCCATCGCGTTCTGCTCGATCGTGGGGTAAGTGTCCTTGAAACGGGGTTTCCCGGGTCCGTGGGGGAAAACCACCAACTTTTAGGGAGCATGGACCAAAAAAAGAAGGGGCCGCTTTGGCCCCCTTCCCCCCGGGGGGGAAAAAAATTG